ATCCATTAGGACGCGGGCGCCACGGCTGGATCGCGAAAGGTGGATTCGGCCGCTGTGGTTTGCATTTCCCAGAGGTTGCTCGCGACGCAATATTTGCTCTAACAACTAGCGAGCCGGGAACTGAGAAGCGTACGGAACGACGGATAATGTTTGCCGTTGCATTCCGCAGGAATCCGGGACGATTTTGTGGACCGAACGTTGAGAAATATTGCGCGAGCGAGTCCTCGGGAATGTCCGCGGCTTTGTAACATCCGAAAGATGACGCGTACACGCGTAGAACCACCTTTCGCGTACGCCCCGCGTTTACCCAGGGATCGCGTCACGCGCGATATGCAACATCAATGACAATAACACGCTGTTACGCAGTTTCCATTAGAGAAACCCGTTACGCCGCGGAGAAAACGTAACGTTCCCGCGCACCGCCTAATTAACAAACGAAGACCCAATCGTTTCGAACGGAGAGCGCGGAAGGGTGTCAATTAAACCGGCATTCTTGCACGTCTATCATCGAACCGCTGAAAATGGCGCAGCATCTACTGGGTAACTGCGAGCAATTCGCATCGTCAATATTAATTAGCTGCCAATTAGCATAAATCTGTAATTCCGGTCCTAGTGTTGGTTCAGTTCTCTGCATGGCAACGCTGTAGCTCAACGTCCATCGGCCGCTCCTAAAAGAAATATAGAGGATGAGATTACGTTCCGTCGGTTCGGTTCGGTTCAATTTCTGCTCGCCGAATGCTCGCCGAATTCTCCAGCGAAATGAACGCTCGGCTCGCTGTGTTCCCGGGCGTGCGCGGTTTCATAAATCAATCTCTTACTGGACGTCCATTGAGAATTATAATACATCTCTTAAACGTTTCTCGCGATACGAACGTAGATTTCTGTTCGGAACGCGCGTACAGTCGGCTAACTTCGGTACACACGTTCCATTGAATGAGTACGATACAACGGGCGGACGGTCTAAATAATTTCGAAGGGCTTCCAGCGGTGATCCAGCGCAGAAAAGCCTGATTGGACGGCCCGAACTGCGACCGGTATAGCATAACCGTTGACTCACGATCATGTGACCTGTAACGTAATGTTATAACAGTAATAAAGTACGTGTGCAGTGGTGGTGTCTGTAATAGGTGTCGACCATTTCGACATCACGGTCATCCAGATGCTTCCATGTCGCCGTAGGATCATTCTTATTCATCGTTGTTTTCATCCATTATCGTTCGAACCATTCGGCCGCGACGCTGCCAGTCCCGTCGCGTTCCTCTAATTATGTAACACGGATATTTTTCTACGCGCGATTAATTAAAGACCGTCCTTACCGCGACAATGGTATCCGGTGTTCATAGAATGGTCATCAAGGACGGACGCGCGAAATTTATAGAATCATTCCGCGCGATTACGACATAAAACATATTTTCCACGCTCGGTCATTCGACGATTTTGATGGTCCCCTCCGTTTCCCGGTCGCCTCGCCAATTACGTTCTTTCCGAGGACCGTCGGGTCAGCGATTTCGGGCTCCGTGTATTTACCCAGCCTTATTTACTCCCATCCAACGGAAACCAAATAATCCGAGGCGAAAACTAGGCTAGTCGACGACATTACCGGCGGCCTTGTTGTCTCAGCCACGCCGTTGCCTCTGATCGTCGCTTTTCATCTGTTTATCATTCGTCGAACCTTCATCGGTGCGGTTCACCTCCATTCTAGACCTCCCCGAAGCTTCTTCCGCTTTGCAACAGCGCAACTATGAAAATATTAAAAACATTCACGAGATTAACCCCTTGGCGTATGATTTCTTTCTCAACTCAGATCGATACGGCTACTTTGTCATTAACACGTTAAACGCCGCACGATTTTATAGAGCAGAATACACGAAATGGAAAAACTACAATATTAAATCATTTGACTGAATTGGATTATTATCATTGCACGTTTATCAAACTGAATGTCACCGCAATGGATAGCATTATTTATAATATAGGAATGTTTGCGAATAATCATCGTATAATTCAGCGTATTATAGTAATTCGATTTGCTTGGGGGTCACCGGTGACCCCCCATGGCATTCAACGTGTTAATAATTTATTGGAAAAAGAGAAAAATTCTAAGCATACGTTACGCCTATATTTCCTTTTAAGTATAATAGTTGATTACAGTAGAAAAATATTTACTTTGAATTCGAATCAACTGAGTGATATATATATTTGTTGAATCATGTTGAAAATCTTCACCATGAGTCTCACTCGTTGTTGTAGGGCAAGGGGTTAACCCATAATGGATTGGAAGTGTTTCAACTTACCAGCAGAAAATACTATAACGTAGACAACCGGCGGGAAGATATTCATAGAAGTGATCTAGAAGAATATTTAACGTGTTAATTGTAAATATTACAACAGTAACAGTGATGACAATAATAAAAAAATTTTTGCCACCATATACGCGACATTAGACTCAATAAGTAAAAGTTCCATGCTTATATGGCGGCATTGGTCTGTTAACACGTTGACCGCAAAGAAACTGTCGAGCCTTTTATGTGATATAACTCATTTTTGTTGTAAGAAAGGCGATTGGTATTCGAATTAATTATTAATGATTTTATATTATTGTACCTTGCAGTGTTATTTAAGTACTTATCTAATGAAGTACTTTGATTTCATATCAATTTTCTTGTAATTATCTTCTAGGCATTTGGAAGGTCATCAGTGACCACCATGGCGGTCAACGTGTTAAGGCTTAAAGGTATCCACGTAAACCGTCTAACACTGGAATTACCAAGAAAATCGACATTTAATTTCCTACTAAATAGATATCTACTAGAGAATCTACTAAATAGATATATACAGAAAAATTAGTTCCAGAAAATCTAACACTAGAATTAAATTTACATACATAGATGTAAACTGTTATACCTAGTTCTTTACACTACTATGCACAAACATAGGTGATTTTTCTAACAAATCTTTCGCTTCATTGACTTTCGCTGCTATCTATTTTTTGATTAATCGCGATAAGAAGAAATCTGGAATAGGTCGTTTCGACCCGTTCGGTGGTTCTAGTGTTAAGAAAACAAGGTCAAAGGCGACGACCAATCAAAGCAACAGCGAGACGCGTCCGCGTGACAGGGGGTTCACCCGTCTCGCGCGCGTGCCCACGAACTCCAAGCGCCCGGTGAATTTTTATAGATACTTGAACCGATGCCAGGAAGCGTTATTGTAGCCGTTTCACGCATGCCGCCGTATTCGTATTCCCCGGAGGACACAGGCAGTAGGCCGTCGATCGCATTCGGCTCCAGAGTGCGTCAATCAGCCGTGGCGCGGCGGTCCAAGAATTAAACTATTTTTGCGCCCAAACCCGCCGGTGACGTAACACGTGTCTCTGGCAGTGGCGAACAGTTCCACGGGAACGTCAGCTCGCCGTGGCAGTCGGACGCGCTCCTCGCGTGCCTGACCTTCGCGATTTCTCTGCCTTTAATGACAAAGCGGTTCTAGGACGGCTCTCCCTCGCGGGACAATCATTCTAATAACCGCAAATGAAGCAAAACAAATAAAACATCGGGCAGAGAATGGAACGGAAAAAAAATGTTTCTTCACGGTGGATCGTAAAACGGTTGCCGCTCGGTTGAAACGAGGTTTTCAAAAATCGCGCTACCGGCGGACGCAGGCCGAAGGGGTATCGGTTGCAGCTGACATCCAGCGCATTCGTTGATCCATTTCACTTGGCCGGAATCCACGGAACCGTGAGGCAAGAACACCGATCGTCGTGCGGTTATGTGACGGCACCGGTGAAACATGCAAACGGATAAACATCCGTTTCGGAGGATCGTTTCGCTCCGGTGGCGTTTCGGTGGTTCGTTTTTCCTGAACAGAGTCTCGTAGTGGGCTTCGTGAAACCCGATATCTCATGTTGCTTGCACTTGAATGTTCCAGCGTTGAACCGAGCAGTTTCTCTTTTCCCCACCGTGCGTGCACGTGGAACGAGGCTGTCTCCAAATTGCCGCGGAATTGTCCTACGATTCTCGTGCAATTTCCAGTGATTAGATTAATGTCCTTCGTAGAATCCCACGATTTTTTCTCGGCAGGCCCATTGTTGGTCTAAACGAAAGTCGTTGACAGTTGGCATAGGAACGTCGGGCCGGAGAACGAATAAGACACGTTGTAAAGCCGAGATTGCTTTGAAAAGAGAACGCTGGAAGGGGTGAGACGGCGACCGCCGGCTTAGAAAAGGTTGTTCGGCCCCGCTTTATCTTCCCCCGAGAAAGATGAGACCGAAAAATCGATTCAACGGCTGTTTCTTCGTATTCCGTTGCGCGCAATTGCGATCTCTTCAGTCTGCCTTAGATCGTCCTCTATCTGTGTAGAAAGAATCCATATTCTAACCACTTGCTGTCTTAACACGTTCGCTACCAGCGTTTCCTACGGTGACGATCTTTCCGATTGTAACATTTTCTTCGATCCAATAAATCTTGTAAAGAAAATATAGAAAAAATGCAACTGCACCGAGTCATCGAGTTCTTAAATATAATTACCTATCTTATACCCTAAAAGAATAATATCCATAGAGTTAATTTCAGTTTCTGTATGTAAAATATAGAATTATGTCACAAATGTGACGCTGGTAGTGAATGTGTTAAGCAAAATGATTTAGAGCCACCTTGTCATGAACGTTCGCAAGCTACTAACGTGTAAAAATCCACGTAAACCCACGTACGCTGGAAAAATACCAGCGACGCGTCGAGAAGCGCGAAGTATGTAATAGGAACGCGATCGCGTTCAAAGGACGACGTGTGATTCGAGAGAATCAGCATCGGATGATTCAGTGAAGAATGTTAATTTGCATTTCCACGATGCATCAACATCTCGGTTAAACAACGAGCCTACGGACTCGCGTGTATCCGTCCGTCGAGGCGGCGGGGAGGGGGATCGCTGGGTGTTCCCTGTTGCACGTTATACCTACACGCAACCGGGCGCACTGTGCCGCGCGTGCACACACGTTACGTGCCATGCACGTGTACATCGCCGGTCGTGTGTAAATACGCGGCGAACCGAGTGGGGGGACGACGCCTCTCTAAGCGACGCTCCGCGTCTTCGTCAGTCAAATTGCGATCGTCTCCGCGCGACGGGTCGCCTGTTCAGCATCGCGCCACGAGCCGCCGGCACGCCAGTTACCCGCCGCGGTGATAATAGCAGACGTTCGTGACAGTGTTGAACACCGCCGACGAGGTGGCCGGCCAGCGTTGCATTTGGCACGCACGAATATTCCGTGGAACACCAGTTACGCCGGTTCGTCGACGAGAATAGACCCTCTCTGCGAGGAGAGACCGTCTTCCGGATCCCCGGCGACGCTTGCCGGGTTCGCTGTTCCGGATATCAGCTTTCAACCGGATCCTAGCTGAACATCCCGCTCCTTCCGGCCGCCTAAAACGAAACGTGAGTCAAATCCTAGGGAAAAAGAACGCGGGGCAAGGGAGGATCGTAACGGAAGCAAATTAAACCGACGGAACGACGACCCTCTAAAGTGACCAGCAAGATGAAGAGCTTGACTTTCTTGCTGCTGTTCCTGGTCGCCGTGACCGTGTGTCACGAGCCGTTCCAAGTGATCTTCCAGTGGAACACCGTGGACGTCGCCTGGCCAAGCGAGGAGGAGAGAGATTACGCTGTCAGCCACAATGACTATGTGCCCGCCAATAACTTCATCGCTGGTATTAAGTTCTGGAAGGGTAAGATGTACTTATCGCTGCCACGCTGGAGGGACGGGGTGCCGGTCACTCTCGCGGTCACGTCCGCGACCCCCATCAACAGGATCACGGCGCCGGTTTTGGATGCCTACCCCAGCTGGGAGATGCAGAAGATCGGTGACTGCAGTGCTTTCCAGTTCGTCCAGAGCATGGAGATCGATCCTATCGGTCGCATGTGGGTGATCGACTCGGGAACGATGTCTCCTTTATCGGTAGAGACGAAGGCCACCTGTCCGGCTCGGCTGGTGATTCTGGATCTAGAAAACAAAGGCGAGATCCTGAAGTCGTACGAGTTCCCTCCGAACGTCGCTCGTCCGGGCATGGCTTACTTGAACGACATCGTCGTGGACCACGAGGACGGCGGCATGGCGTACATATCGGACAGCGACCGGGAGGATCCGGGTATAATCGTGTACTCGCTGCAGAACAACACCTCCTGGAAGATCAGGCACGACTCGATGAAGGCTAAGCAAGAAGCGGTTAAGTTCATGATCTCGAAGGTGTTGATCAATATGCCGATACCAGTGGACGGGATCGCGTTGTCGCCGGCCAGCGTCAGCAACAGGCAGATATACTACTCGCCCTTGTCCTCCTTCCATTTGTACTCGATGCCAACGTTCGCGCTGAAGAGCAACGCGAGCAACTTGGACGACTACGTGCAGGAGCTCGGCAGGAAGAACTCGCAGTCAGACGGTATGATCATGTCCTCCACCGGGGTGCTGTACTTCGGGCTGCTTGCGGACGACGCGGTAGCCATGTGGGACACCAAGCAATCCAGCTCGTTCAACACCGGGCAGCGAGTGATCTCCAGGGACCACGAGAGGATGCAGTGGCCGGACACGTTCGCGTTCGACGAGGAGGGCAACTTCTACTGCGTGACCAACGCGATGCAGAACATCCTGAACAATCGGGTGAACGTCAGCGTGCCGAACTACAGGGTCGTCCGATCGAAAACCAGGCTGAAGAGCTACCAATATCTCGAGGACGGCAGCGCGCCGCAGCAACCGGAGATACCCGCTTCGTCCGCTAACAGGATTACCCTCTGGTTGGCTACGGGATTAGCCGTTCTGCTAGCCGTGGTGGTTCAGTAACGCGCCCCGCTATACCCGCCGGTTGCCGTTTCTCTTCCTTTCCTTTCTGTTTCTAGACGGTAGACTGAATTTCGACGCACGCCACGGGTATTACCAAAGACGTTCGACCTTTATCTTCCCAGACGGATCACGCCGGTTACCCATCCAGTGCTGTCCCGGTGACTCGGAACGTCCAGTGCGCCCCTCGTTTCACGGGTGCACGGATTCACTGACGCGCGTGAAGTTACGGTCGTAAGCGCTGCTCGGCTTCCCGTGTAGCGCGAGTCGTTCTCGAACTGTACAGGTGAACACGTTCAAGCTCCGGTAAGATCTCCATCGGTTCGTTCGGCGACTCGCGTCGGTCGATCCGCATTCTTCTTGAGGGACACCCTGTACAACTCTAAACATCTGTGTCTGTAATCTCGATGTAGAATGAGCATTCCGTTCGCTTGCCCGTCGCTCGCGCGAGCAGGGATGCGTTTAATTTAATATTTATAGGGGCACCAGGTGTGTCACGTTTGTACCCGCGCACGCTGCGACGGGCATGCGTGCATGATTGGAAGCTCTAGTCTAGCGTGCGTCTTGGACGATGGAACTACGACGAGGCCGCTCGTTACCGTAATCTTTGAAACTGATTGATCGTCTCTGGCGCAGTCGTAGAAAATTTCTGTCAGCCGAGTGGAATTGGACTGGAGGCATTCGAGTCAGTCCACCGGTACCGTTGGTTCCTGTAAACAACGGTTCTGATGGAGCGACAGAACTGCCCAGGATTCCTCGAGGACAAGGGCTAATTAGGAAACGCGTTTACCAATGTCATTCTGATTGCCATCTAAGATTCTCGGGCGAAATTGATCTCGAAATTGATCGGTGCAATTACCGTTGATGGTCTTTACCGCATGGAACAGTAGCGTACACGTTTTCCTTCCAGCCACGACGCTGTCCTCGAGACGAAGCTTCTTCTTAATCCGTTTAGAGTCCTGTTCGAATTGTTTCAGCACCTCTTCAGCGAGTACCAAAGATTCCAATCGATTGGCTCCGCGAAGAATCGAAGAACACGGGTCCTGCAAAGAAACGCCCGTGTTTCTGTAATTTTCTGTAACGATATTTCATAGAGAGTATAATAAAAAGAAACGAATCTGTCGAACCTTTCAAAATCGAATTCACCGATCAACGGCTGCGGCCATTGTTCATCGTGGTTAACGCTAAAACTATCGGACAAGTCAAATTCACCCGTTTTAGAATTTCCAGCTTGCGAGTATTTAAACGTTCGCTACCAGCGTTTATTTCGGTGAGGACCTCAATTGTAATATTTTATTCGATCCAATGAGTCTTCTAAACAGAATATCGAAAAAATGAAACTGGAACATGTTGAGTTCCGAAATATAATGCCGTAGCTTGTAACTTGAAATAACAGTATCTATAAGATTAGTTTCATTTGCTTTATGTAAAATATAAGATTGCGCCTGTCACAGGTATGTGACGCTAGTAACGAACGTGTTAAATTGTGACAAGACTTTGCGAAAGATTGTAAAATAAATTTGTGTATCTATACAAATACAGCAATAAGGGATCCATTAAATCTCGAGAAGCATATTGTCCTGATTTCTATAAAAACATAGAACCGAGTCACTCGAGTCGCTCGGTAGTTTCAGTGTTAATCAATTCAAGGTAAACACTTTCACGTAATATGTATAAATAATAAATCTACCAGTATTCCATCCGAGTTCGCATTTAATCGGTTGAGCCGACAATCGAATCGGCGCGTGCCGCCAGAAAACAATCACGCTTCCGTACCCGGGGAGAAAGTACCACCGCGACGACGACGCGTTCGCGCTTAATTGACCTTGAATTAACGTCGCCCAACGGGGAGTATTAACCCTTCGCGCTCGAGAAGTAGCTCTCAGTCACCGCTTGATTCGATGGGACGAAATGATCGAGTTTCCTATTCAATTCCTAAGCTCACGCGCGCATCGTCGTTCGGTTAATTTGAAGAAAACCTCGTCTGCGCCTCGTCGGGGAGCGTTGAATATTTCCAATGAAAACCACTCGAGTGCGAACGGTTCCGCCATTAAGAGACGCTTCTGCTTCGATCGCGGCTATTGGAAGGGAAATTGGGAAAGTGGGAAGGAAAAGCTGCGGGCTGGTTCGACGGGGCGGGGGGCGGAGAGGCTGAATAAATGGACCATTTATCGTCGCGGCGAAAGCAACCGTCATCGAGAATCTGTCCCCCGACAAAGAAACGTTGTCGAGCGTGAATTTAAGGGGGTCATAGTTCGATCGAATGGGAATGACCACGCGAACAACCATACTGCCAATAATCAACGACCGTTTAACGACTTGCCGCGGAAAATTAGTCCCCCGCGGGCCAGGCGTCGATCCGCATTCTTCTCGAGATTCTTTGATTCTTACGGGAAGAATGTGCATCGTTTAGTTTTCCCGACGTTCCCATTTTTCCGAGCTTGGCCATCGGTTACAGAGGATTCGTCTCCGTAATAAGCCGTTCGTTGTCGTCCCTCGCATTCCGATATCGTCGCGATGACAATTATTGTCACGAGAACGTGTTCCTGCGTGTCGAAGAAACGCGGATCGGTACAGTTCTTCGTACAGCCGATGGAAAAGGGAGAACGACCGACGATCAATGCAGCACCTTATTCTCGTCGCCTTAAGATTTCGAACCGCCAGTGTATACACTACACGCTGTGGGCGCGTGAAACGCATGTGTGTGCACGTGTAATTAGTGTACACGCCGCTCATAACACGTACGAATAGCTTTAATACATATGGCCTGATTTGCGGCGATGAATTGAAACTGTATACCGGGAGGCCGGTCGGAAAATGCGAGTTATGAGTCATTTGTCTAGGCCGGCTCGGTGAACGCAACTTTCCGCCGTTTCGCGGCGTTTGTTTGTTGCAATTGTTATTCCCTTTCTCGACGGATCGACCCAGAATCGCTCGCTCAGCTAAACGTATCGGCTACCGTGACGCCTGGAAATAATTCCCTACGGTGACTGTTGTTGCGCGATCCGAACCTGGAAAATCAACGGAATCGAAGCACGATGGGGGACGCTGGATAAAAGCAAACTGAAAAATCATATTTTCCTTCGTGATCGAAAGTTACTTGCGGTTTCGCCTCGTTGTAGGTGCGCTCCCCTTCCACGGGAACGTTGCAGCTTGCATGGCAATTTCGAAATTTTCCTCGGGAATCGAGACACGGCGTAAGAGCAGTAGAACACGAGGACCGCGGAATGAATGTTTCATATGGGGACGCGGACGTGTCCGGAATCCGTGTTTCCAGGTGCATCTATTAACACTAGGTCTGCGCACGTTTGTCGTGCGGTTTATCCGACTGTTCCTAGAAAAATTAGAAGAATCTTGGAAATTGTAGGTTCAACTGCAGATAATTAACGCTGGATTCACGTGAACCGTCGATTTCACGGATACGGAATTTTTCGAGCATCATTTGGTAACAAATCGATTTTGAGTCGTGCAATGACCATTGCAATTCTCTATTTTCGAAGGTGTAATTCCCACGGCGTATACAAAGGAACATGTAGTTTTCTAGGAACAATAGAATAAAGTGTAAATGTCAGCAAATCTAGCGTTAAACATTCGTGTAGCTGCGTCGATGAAAATCAAAGTAAACATTGATCAAATAATGCTTAGAAAATTCGATACGCGTCGAATTGACGCGGCCCGTGAACCTAGTGTTAACACGTTGGCTGCCACGGGAATTTTCGTATAATATTACATATTCTTTCATAACAAAGGCAAGTGGCGTTACAATTAATTATTAATGATTCCATATCGTAGTTCTCGAGTTACGCTATTATTTAGCTAGTTATATTACTAAATGTCTTGATTCGTTGCCAGTTTTCTTACAATTGAGTCGCTCAGAACGCGGTTAACTCCAGAAAACAAAAATTGAAATTTAATGTTTCGGCTCCAGAAAGTATAGAACATATTCAGAAGCTATAAGAAGAAGGGCTTCAGTAACTAAGAAGAATATTATTAATTCCATTAACACTAGAACTATCAAATAAGTCAAAATGATCCATTCCTAAATTCTTTTACAATTATTGAGAAACAATAAGTCCTTCTCTAAGAAATTTCTAAATAAATTATTTTATCAATACTCAAACTAAGTTTTGAGTGATCGAAGTCTCGATGGCACTCTTGGAGTTTCTACAGAAACATTTTGAAAAGTCAACTTTGCTTGGTAGTTTTAGCGTTGAAATCTAGAAAAATCAGAAAATATCAAAACTCGGTTGTTCTTAAGTAATTTGGAGGCTGCAGTGTTTGATGACCGCCATGGCAGTCAACGTGATAATTGGAAAAACGGGGGAACGTTAGTCATCGCGTGGACGCGGCGGTCGTTCAGGAAAGTAGGGAAACTGAAAAGAAAAAGAAGAAGAGAAGGATATATCGAAGGCAATCTCGCTTCCAGCCTCTTCCCACAATTGTCTCCTCTTTCAGCCACGCAGCGTCCCAGTTTTGCGGCGAAGTGAGGTGCACGCACATTATTACGCGCGCAGCGCAAACGGAGCCGGGGCCTAGCCCTGAACCGCGAGTCAACGAACGAGCAGGGAGAGGCTCATAGGATTACAAAACTTCAGTGGGAAAACACGGTGCACCTGAGACCCGATCGCATGAATCTGGGAGCACGCCGCGCTTTAGGATGCGTTCCCTTCGTTATCTCGATTCCTACGGTGCGGATATAGGGTGAGAAGGGGTGGTCCACTTCAGAATATTTATTTCGCAAGTGTTCAAACTACGTAACCGTCTTCGCGAAAGATTTTCAATTAAACTGCACTTGCACCGATACGAAACTAGGAGACCCTTAGAACCTTAAGAAACGTATTGTTCTAATTTTCATGAATAATTGGAAATGTCACTCTAATTGTTTAGTAGTTTCAAAGTTAAAAGAACTATTGTATGTTTATCTTGAAAGTAAGTCCATTTTTCAAAAACACCAAGTTAATCCTTACAATAGTTAGAATTCTACAGAATCTTTTTATTCTTTAATGGATTTAATGTTTTTTAAGTGGACTTGAGTCGCTTTCAAAAGTTCATATCATAAATATCATTGACACCTAACGAAAAGAGGTGTAACAGGTGTCTATGGAAGATTCGGTGTACTAAAAGCGATGGAAAGTATAGACTGTTGACAGTATTCAAATGAGATCGGGCCATCTCACTCAGAATTACCCTACGAACACTTTGAGTATCCTTTTGTTTGGCTTGTCGTCTGAAAATCAATGAGATATTAATTTACGCGAGGCATAATTAAGTTGTAATCGTAATTCCTCAGTTCCACTGAATTGAACAATGCTAAGGAACGTGTATATTAACGTCTTATACTTTACAATCGTCGTCGCGGCACACGCGAGATCGAAACGATCGAGAAACTCGTATATGCGTCGATAGTCCACACCGACAGCTTTACGGTACTCAACAGGTTAACAAGACACCTGCGGTATTTATTTTTTGATAGCGACTCTCGTGATGCGTGTAAACCTATCGGAGTCCAGCGAATTCAACAGTTCCATTTTCCATGATCACGTTAGCAGGCTTGGGCACTTCTGATCCTAGCAACGCTGTGACCTAGCGATGAACAAGAATTCAGTGTTAAATATATAAAGATAGAACATTAAAACTACCAAGTACTTGAACCATCTTTCCAAAATTTCTTTAAAAAAGCTATAAACACGATTTTATGAAGATTTCAATTGTCTTGTATTTCAGTTTAGGTATTACTGAATCAGGTATTACCTTTGCAGTAATTCTAAAAGAAGAAATTGGGAATCATTTGAACCCTAGTAGTTCTAGTATCAAATTTTCATTGAAAATCCTGTGTTTTCCTTCGTTCATTTAACTTCATATCAACTATATCGTGTGATTAATCAATTTTTCAATGTCTGTGTTTCCTGTTGTTTCCGTTTCCAGTAAGAAAAATTGATCGTCCAACTTGTTTACCTTCGTTTCGTAGCTATTTGGCTGGTTTCAATAGGGATACATAGATATATGCAAAGCGTCGATACGGTTAGCGTTAAAGGGAATAGTACTGAAGTGACCGGAAGCTTTCATCTGGATACACATGTCCAATGACTCACAAGACAGCGGAAAAATTGTTAATAGCTGGTAGCCTTCAAAAAATGACACTCCGTTCGATTACAACTGCGGAAAATGATGTCAGCCTACTATGAAAAGAATATTAAACGCGTTTGACTCATAGCCGGAGTTCGGTGTTTAACGCACGCCCGAGGCGGTTTCTGTTCACTCGCCGGATGATTAAGCGCTAACCAAAAGTCCCGGGAGCCTGTTCGATCGGCGTTCGGCTGAAATCAGATTTCTGATAAGAATAGGACTAATGCAACCGTCACCGAGACCATTAGCGAACCAATGAACCGTGAACCGATCCGACTGATCCAAAAAAAGAGGCAACGGTGAATCCGAGAGTACGATCGTACCCTATATTGCTGCATACAATGTATATCGCGATTTCCTTTCTCCACAAGGCTAATGACGCTTAACCCTTTACAGTACGATTTAACCCTTCACGGTCGAGAGGTTCTCAACCTTTGAAAACTCTGTCCATTAACAGTTGAATTATGTGTCAAAATATGAAATATCAGAAGAAATGAAACCTTGTATCTATCTCTCATTATTTGAATTGTTAAATTATTTATTTGTAACCTTCGATTTTGGATATGAAAGTCGTAACGATGACATTCGACCGCAAAGGATTAGTCATGAAAGATCGTGCACAAAAGAATTTTATTTTTGTTAAAGGCAAGATGTTTCATCTTATGATTTATAGATTCTGTTAATTTAAAGAATGTTAATCGACAGTAATCTAGTAAGGTACTACCAACTATTACGCCAATCTATTCTCAATTAGGAACTGTATAAATTCTGTACACAAAATGAAAGATTGTGCACAAAAGAATTTTATTTTTGTTAAAGGCAACATGTTTCATTTTATGATTCATAGATTTTGTTAATTTAAAGAATGTTAATCGACCGTAATCTAGCAAGGTATTACCAGCCATTACGCCAATCTATTCTCAATTAGAAAAACATTCTGTGCGCATGAAAACATGTTACCTGTAACTTCAGTCGCATGACGAGTGTAGCTTGTCACTGTACGGTTTGCCATGAGAAACCAATAACAAGCTGTACTCGTCGTTTCACCGCAAGGGGTTAATCTGTTAACCTGGAGAAGACGATTTATCTTGTAATTCGTATTTGTATTTATTAAACACCGCCAAGTTCGCAGTAGCGTGGTGTAGGTCATAGGTGAACGTATTACGGAGTAAACTTGTATAGAATCGTTTTTGCGCAATCGTAGCCGGATGATACTTTGCTCGGTTAACATATTAATCGAATGAAGACATCGGAAAATGTCGACGGGTCTCGAGAAATTCTAGTTAAGGGCTGCCTGTTCGGCGCCTTTTGACGATGATGGAGACGGGCGTCGGCGGTGCACGACAAAGTGTTCTATCGTAGATAAAATTTGCAAAGTATGCTTTCCTTCAGCGTCAGTTTACGCAATTGTATCACCGAATCTGTATACCTGAAATTAATATATTTTCTATAGTTATAAAGTCCGTATGGTGTTCCTTAAAAAAAAAGGTACGGTCGGACATTAACACGTTAAGCGTCATTGCAGTCACCGATGACGAAGTTTCTGAATTAATTGAAAACAGTTGTAACATACAGGATCACCCATGTCGAATGAAAATAACACTGGATTCACGGAACGCGTCAATTTGACGCATATTGCTTTTTATAAATATTATTTAGTAAGTGTTCACGTCGACTTTGATCGATGCACATGGATATGTATCTGAATTGTTTATTTCTAAACTTCTAACATCCAAGATCGAAATGAACGAATGTGAAGCTTTCTAGGAACAATGGTATAAAGTGCACAATAAATGCCTGTAAACCTACTGTTAACACGTTGACTGCCACGGTGGTCACCGGTGACGGAGCTTCGAAATGACTTGAAAACAATTGTAATTGATAAGACAACCGACGTCGAATAAGAATATTCAATAACGTAAATAACTGGATAATATTGTAACGTAAGAATTGTGGTAGCAAATAATTAATAATTATTCTCATTTATCTTTAGAACGCTGATATTTTTCGTGGCACTCAACGTGTTAATAATGTAACTAAATTGATAATAGTCCAATGCAAAGATTGTAACGCTAAATAATTCACAATTGTTCCCGTTTCTCTTAAGAAAATAACTCTACGGAAAAACGGTCAAGATTTTCGCGGCGAACGTGTTAACATGAATGCCATAGGGGTCACCGGTGATCCCCAATCAAATGGAATTACTATAGTTCACTCAATTAAAAGATGATTATTTGAAAGCATCTTTATATTATAAACAATGCTAGCCAATGTGGTGACACTCAGCTAGACGAACTTGCAATAATAACAATGCAATTCAATCAAATAATTTAATATTATATATTTTCCATTTCGAGTATTTTTCTTTATGAAATAGTGCGACACTTAACGTGTTAAATTGTTCAATTGTTCATTTTCAATTTTGGCCAGTTTCGACTGTTCAATTGAATTCCTTTAGAACCTAGATAGACGATGCTTCTATACTGGTTACTCATTTCCGGAAAATAATTCTTCGTTTCGGTTGTGCCGTTTCTGTTTCTTTATGGAACACCCTGTATAACATACAGAATAGAGTATAAGTACATTTAGAATTCGGGCTGGACGCATCGACATTAGCGTCGCTAATGGTTTATTATTTCGTGTATTACAGAGTAATGTAGCTATTACACAGTGTTTCTGTAAATTATGAGTTATTAATAAAAGAATAGATATTATCAGACCTTGGATTCCCGTCTATTATCGTCATGGCGGTCTCTTAATTGTCATTGTTTCATAATCACGTGTTCTCACCTGGTTAGATATCTCGGTGCAACTTGGCTAGATCTTATGAATAGAATTGCCCGCTGTTCTTTCAGCAAAACTAGTTCGTTAGCCTAATGATGAACTCGAACAGATGACAATGAATCGAATATTCTTGCATTTATCAATGAGTTAACGACACATGCAAACAAGTGCATGTTGACGACAGTGTTATACGTACGACGACGATTAAAGTCACACGACGAAAATAAACTTACGTACGTATGTAAATATCAGTCAGCAATATCATAATTAGAATCGTGATATATATATGTATAATGTAAGGTAATTAAATATACATATTGTATATTAATTATGACAATACCGACTCAAGATTAAATCGCAATAACATAATATACATGAAATTACAAACACGATTTCACAATGAAATTCAAATGTCATCGGAAATTACAAATTGATTTACAACTTCCGGTTTGAAGTTAACCTAACAGTTCTCAATTGTTGTCAAAGATGGCGCCACGTTGTCTTCGCAGAAATCTGCTCGCTGGATAACGTTCAATGGTCATCGTATTTGAAAAGATTTTTGGAAAAAAGTGTTTGAAAAAAGTATCTAATTAAAAATAAATTGAACACAAAGTGCAATTGCTGCAATGTTTCATTTAAACGATGTTAGGTACTATTGTATCCACATGTGCGTTATCTTTATGCACTGAAATTCTGCAGCGAACGTATTGGATGATATAAAGACGAGAATTGCTTATTGTTTGCAGTGGAAATTGTTGCACGAGTGTTTATAACAATCAGCCTGGTATATTTACAGATTAGGAGATTAGAACCGTTGATCGGAATTTAATCTGATTGATACGGCCATTGTTGATAGACAATGAAGCTGTAGAATAGCATTAAATCTGGATAGGTCGTGGGACCATGGATTTATCAGCGGTTTCGCTTTTACAAACTGCCGGGGCTGCAATTCTAAAGGGATGCGTACTGTATATACGCAGCTGTTACCTTAGGGTAGGAGGGGTTAGGAAAGCGAGAATTCAGGGCCGTACGAATGTTCTGAAAAGTTTCATAAACATTAGTTATGAAACCAGCTTCTGGTTATGCCAGCCTATGATCTGATTGTCAATCAACTTCACTTACGTTAAGTCAACTTTGACCTGACATACATCAAATACAGCAGCACTAAATGCATGAAAATAATATCTCTTTTTAATTGACCGAGCATCAGTTTCTCGAGTTGCTTAACGGTCGGTATTTAACGATCAACACCGCTCACAATTATAATATTGAATTCGATAAATCGATGAACCGATACTCACACGAGTCTCATTTCTTCCTGCTCCAGTGCCTAGCTACACATTCCCAAATCATTATTGAGGGAAATAATTAGATTTCCGAACCGCGAAACGAAAACCGCCATTCAAGTTGAACCAAAGAACCGGCGAACAATAAAAAATGACCACCCGCGAGGAGTATACTATTCACAATTTTCACCCTTCGAGTAACTGTAACGCGAAAAATTTAAATCAGTCTTTCTCGCGAATGCAAATAATTCTAGCCCCAACGACATTTTACGAGCCAACGTTCGAAAAAGTCTTTTAACCAATCGCAGTCGTCATGAACGTCATGATTGGCAGAAATGTCTCGTTCCGATCTCGATTCTCGAGAGTGTGCTCGATCTACCAATCAGTAACCGAATGATTTCAAACGGACTCGTAAAATCGATCCCCCCATTCAACGCCAGCATAGAATTTCTCTTCTTTATTCGAATAAC